AGCGAGACCCAGAACGGGCCGACACGCTTCGGGTCACAAGAACGGTTAGCCAGAAGCAGACCTGCCGGCGCCCCGTGTTGGGATTACACGGGGTCGGCGTGCGCATGAACAGCTGGCTCGGAGGCCTTCCCTCTGGTCTCTGTCGGTGGGAGAGGGTGGCGGTCACGGAGCACGTCCGTGTTTGCCCGCGTCGCGTCGGCGCGGTGTGGGCTCTGCAGCGGAAGCTGCCGGGCCCTGGGGAGGGTGTCAGGGCTGAGCGGTGGCACTTTCCCTTTGCACTGCTGGGGGCGCCTGCAGGCCTCGTCTGCCGTGCGGGAGGACAGCCCAGGCTGTTGTCTGGCGCCCCCTGGCGGCGGCGGCTGTGCGAGCGTCCTGTCCTTGCCCCGGGGAGGGGTAGCCCCAGTGAGTCTGGGGTGCAGGCGAGGCCCTTGCCGCCATGCCGGGTGTCCTGTAGTCGGAATAACTGGAGTCTGGGAAGCATGCGTAGGGTATGGAGGACAAAATAGACCTGGCCAAGCTGACTCTCCACAGGGCGCCTTTCCCGCCAGCGGAACCGAAAAACCAGCGTCTCACTGTGACAGGCAGACAGTCTGGTTAAAATGCTCTGGGGTTGGTGAAGGGAATCTCCCCAGCGGGACAGAACTCCGGCAGGGTCCCCTTCAAACGGAAGAAGAGACGGTGGGATGCCAAGCTGGACCGATTCACCCACAGCTACTGTGTGGTCAGGGTGGTTAAGGGACTTGGAGAGATTGTAAGATCAGTGACAGGTTTGAAGGAGCGTGCAAGAAGATTTACCCAAATGGCCAGCAGAGGGCAGCGTCTGACAGGAGGTTGAGTGTCCGCGGGAAGGTCAGGGTCACGGCTGAGGCCAGGCTTGGCTAAGGGCTGCGGCTGTCACTGCTCGGGCCGCCTGCTGAGGATGAATCTGCGGGGTTCTGGGGAGGAGCAACCGGTCGCTCCCAGCTGATTACGGCTGCTCTGTGTCTTCACATTTATCTTTTCAGGGTTAGTGCATACTTTGTCTCACTACTCTCTGAAAGGCTAGTTCTGCCAGAATTACCACTAACTCAGCTTGTGCCAGGGTGCCCTGGGAAACACCATCTTTACAGGAACGCACCCCACACCCGCCTGCCTTCCAGTTGTGACTAGACCCAGAATGGCGATGGGGGACACCCAAAGCTGTCCTGGTTGTCCGACCGCTTTGCTCCTCTCCCTGCTGGGGTGCTCTGTCTTTGTCGTCTCTCTCTAAGGCGTGTTCAGCGATGTCACTTTGCATGTTATTCTATTTTACTTATTTTTGGTGTTTCAAGATAAGCTTTCTCTGCGCAGCCCTGGCTGTCCTGGACCTCGCTGTGTAGACCGGGCTGGCCACCAACTTAAGAGATTCTGCCAGCTGCCTCTGTCGGCAGAGCGCCACCGCCGCCTGCCACACTTGGCAGTAAAGATGATTGCTCTCTGTACAAGGGTGAGGGTCTGGATTCAAATTCCCGGCACCCGTGTGGAAAACACGGCCTGGTGGCAGCAGGTGATCCCGGCACCAGGGAGGCAGAGGTTTGAGGGTATCTTGGCTGCAGGCTGGCCAGCCTTGCTGAGCTGGCCAGCTCCTGTGGGCTTGGGCTGCAGGCCGAGTCAGAAGGGAAAAGCTGACCGGAGCACTCATCACTGAGCTTCCTGATTGACGGTGTGGTCCCTGCCGTGGTGGGCTGTATCTTCTCACGGGGTGAGCCGATTGTCTCAGCACCGAGAGACGTAATGAATACATCGGATAGATATTTCCTGACATAATTTACTCATTTAACGTCATGACTCAGTGTGGTGGTTTGAGTAAGAATGGCTCCATCAGCTCATCTAATAGGATGCTTGTTTCCCAGCTGGTGGACTGTGGGGAAGGATGGGGGTTGGGGGTGGCCTTCTTGAAGGAGGGGTGGCCCTAGGGCTGGGCTTTGAGGTTCCCAGGGTTCATGCCAGGCCCTGTACTGTCTGTCTTCTGTCCGTCTGTCTGTCTGTCTCTCTTCTGTCTGTCTGTCTGCCTGCTGCCTGTGATCATAAAGCTGTCCGCCCCCTTTGTGTCACCATGTCTGCTTTCCTGCAGGCATGCTTCCTTTTAGGGTGGTCATGGACTGATGATCTGAAACCGGAAACGCCCCCATTCAGTTCAGTGCTTTCTTTATTTCTAAGAGCTGCCTTGACCACAGTGTCTCTTCACAGTAACAGAGCAGTGAGGAAGACCTCAGGGATCTCTGACCTCACCTCAGAAGTCCCCTGAATATTCCTTCACGTCGTGCTGTTGGCCAGCAGAGAAGGGAGAGACAGAGACTGGGAGAGACAGACTGGGGTTTTACAGGATCCCCAGCTATGGTCAATGTGAGAGGCTGGCGGGGCAGAGGTGGTCGGGCAGCACCAGGGCGCTGAGACAGTGTGAGCAGCAGGGGGAGGGGGCTGAACACCTGTGGGGAGCAGCTCCATCGCTGCTGCTTTTTCTTTCTCTTGTCTGGACCTGATTAGACTCTCTGATACAGCTACACTGTTACTTTATGCCCGGCATCGCCCAGCCTGCTGTACCTTGACACTTATGCTTGCTTCAGTGGGAATTGGGGAAACAGGTTTCTCACTCACTGGGAAACTGGGCGGGGCAGAAGGAGGTGAAGGAGGTGTCGCCGCTTGATGACACGTTCATGCTCTTGGACCCACGTTAATGGTGAGAACCCACGCCTACAAGCGCTCATCTGGCTTTCACGAGTGCGCCTTGGCACCCGTGGGCCAAATTCCTAAAAGATGTAGCAAAATTTTATTTTGATACTGATAAAATATCCATCTTTAGAGACTTCACGTCTGTATGTGTGTGCTCGTATCAACTGTACAAGCTGAAACTGCGGGAGTCAGCGTGGCTGGTTAGCACTTTAAACGGTAAACCTAACTCCGCATCAGCCACTTCCTGCGCACTTCAGTTGTGGCCACGCCTCCCACCTGTCCCCAGACCTTCACGGTGTAAACGGGAACTGTGGTATCTAACAGAAGCCTGGCTTGCCCTTCCGCCAGCACCTGGCAGCCGGCCTCTGGGAACCTGGGCAGGTGTGTGCCCTCACACCCAGCTGTGTGTTAAGGCTGAGACTCACCTTCACACCCTGTGTTCCTCTAGCGTTTAAACTCCTAACTTTAGTGTCTGCCCCTCGACTCTGCGCCTGTGAGCACCTGGGGAGAAGATAGTGTGATCCCAGTGAGAGAGAAATAGTTTTTGTTGTTGGATAGATATTTTCTTAAAGTATATCTTTGTTTACCTTTTACCTTTATGGTGGGGAGTGGTGGCACACACCTTTAGTCCCAGCACTCGGGAGGCAGACAGGCGGGTCTCTGTGAGTTCAAGGCCAGTCTGGTCTACAAATCGAGTCCAGGACAGCCAAGACTACACAGAGAGACCCTGTCTCAAACAAAACAAAACAAAACAAAACAAAAATGGGCAAACAAACAAACAAACAAACAGAATCCCTCCTTCCCAAAACCTTTTACTCTTATTTTGTGTGTGTGCCTGGTGCCCTGGGAGGCCCTGGAGCTGAACTGTAGAGCTTTGTAATCTGCCATGTGGCTGCTGGGAGTTGAGCCCAGGTTTCCTGTAAGAATAGTCAGTGTTCTTAACTGCTGAACCATCTCTCCAGCCCCTTATTTGGGTTTTTGGAGCAGGGTCTCTCGAGGTAGCCCTGGCTACTTGCTAGGTAAACCAGGCCGTCTTTGAAGTCACAGAGGTCCTCCTGCTTGTGTCTCCGGAGCGCTGGGATTAAAGGTGTGCACCACCATGCCTGGCTGATTACAGGTTTTAAGCTGTCATCTCACCACACCGTGGTGCCGTTAACTTTGTGAATATGAACTGGAGTAGACAAAATTTGAACTCCATGGCAGACTATGGAAGATGGAAGGAGAGACGGCTCAGTGGTTAGGAGCACTGGCTGCTCTTCCAGAGGACCTGGGTTCTAACCCAGCACTGACATGGCGGCTCACAGCTGTCTGTAACAGGTCCAGGCACGAGATGCACCTGTGTGCACAGACATTCATGCAGGCAAAACACCCGTACACACAAAATACCAAAAGAGTACAAATGAAAAAAGATAAGAATTAAAAGTCTTCCCACCCTCCGCCATAATCCCAGTACTCAGGGAGGCAGAGGCAGTTGGATCTCTGAGTTTGAGGCCAGCCTGGTCTACAAAGGGAGTCCAGGACAGCCAGGGCTACACAGAGAAACTCTAGTCTCTAAAAAACAAAAACAAAAAAAATTTTTTTTGAGATCCCTGAAGGAGGGCTCAGTGAGTAAAGGGTCCACTGCCAAGTCTGGTGACTTAAGCTTGATTCCCACATGGCTGAAGGAGGGAACTGACCCCACACGCTGCGACATACGTGCATATATACATACATGGCTACACACCGTACGTACATACACACATACATACACACACACACACGCACCATACATACACACACACACACCATACATACATACACACACACCATACA